CGGTGCTCGTTAGCCCACGCTAGACAAAACTCCAGCGTTTGCTGCGCCGTGTCATGGTCCCCGTCACAGTGCCAGCATCGGGCATCACGCTCCCGATTGATGCGACACAGGTACTCTCCGAAGCAGCCATGCCCGGATAGCACCTCTGTCACACCGAAGGTGAGAGGCACTCCACCGCTGTCCCGCCAACGCTCCCAACTCGGCAGAACAGCCCCAACGACGCGGTGAGAGTCCAACCCCTAAAAGACGGAGGCGCCAGCGTTCCCTCACGCGCCGCCAGACCAGGTCGCTGGAGTTGCACACGGATTCCAGGTTGTCAGGGTCCCATTTATTTCCGGTATCCACGCCCCCGTCTCCAGCCCTCGCCCGGAGATATATATCTCGCAAAGCGAGGGCCTGGAGGTGAAAGGGCGGGAGCCCCGCCAGGACTGCGACCACCGCACCAGACAGGGTGCGGTATCCCTTCACCATCCTGATGGCGCACAACCTGTGCAGCCGGCTCAGAAGGAGCCGGGTAGGCTTGTCCCCCACCGGGTCATCGACGAAGATGGGCGCGCCGTACAGTACGATGCTGCACACTACCCACGCGTACAGCCACCGCAACCACCCAGCTGCACTCTCAAGGTTGGGGAGCAACCGCGCCGAGGCTCAAGTCACCCCCCAATCCCGAGGGAACAACTGGGCGAAATGGGGCCCAAACCGCCAGTGGCCATCCAGGACGAGTTCCAGATATTTCGTCTGGTTCTCGACCCGGACTGGAGTCCCTCCAACCATTATCCGCGTATCAGGCGGAGGACGTCCCAGACGGGACCGATGGAAAAACCTAATCGCCTCCATTTTAGTGGGCGACATCCGCAGGCCCAAACCCGGATACAGCGCAACAACGCCAATGCCGCCACTTCCGCGGCTCGGCTGACCACCGCAAATCCCGTCTCGCCGACCAGCAGAAGCGTGTCGTTCGCGTAGTAGACGACTTCCGTGTTCGGAATGAGGGTATCCCTCAATACTATGTCGTATGCGATATTCCATAGTGTGGACCCCAGGATGGATCCTTGGGGCACCACGCCATCAATTTGTCTCCTGCGAGACCTGTCGTCCCTGTCATTGAATAAAATCCACCTATCCCAAAGATACGCCCAGATGACGTTACTCAAATACAGAAGAACCCGGAGAAACTCCAGTCCCTCCTGTACCTTACACCAGCGGAGCGAGTTGAAGGCGTTGTCGATATCAATCGCCACCGCCATCACTATACCACCCCGGCCAATCCAGCTCTCAGAGAAGGAGATCGTTTGCGTCGATCGTGGACCGCCCCCTCCAGAACTCGAATTGGGCCCCGTCCAATCTGGGTGCAGGAAGGGACAAGTGATCTACGAGGCGGGAATTGACTATGCTTTCGAATAGCTTTCCCACCTCGTCGGGCAGGCAAATCGGCCTATATGCGGAGGACATCTCAGCAAGCCTCCCAGCCTTAGCTATGAGAGTCAGCCGAACCGCCTTCCAAACCTGCGGGTAGTCCCCGCGGGCTAGGCAGTTGTTGAACAACTAGCTCACCCGCAGGGCGAGAACCTCCATCTCTGCGGCCTAGGCCCGCCCAGGCCATCCGTCCGGCCCAGCCTGCGTCGTTGGAGGGACCAGAGCCTAAACCTCCACAAGACAAGTTCGTACGCACGGCCCATGCATCCCTGTGCACGGCACCGAGGAGCTCTCCCCAGGCACGGGACTCGGTTTTCCCAACAGCGTACTGCAGGGCGAAATGGGTGTTTGCATACGCCCGATATGCCTCTGCAACACGCTCACGCGGTAGCCTCCACTTTCTGGCTCAGGCGAACCGCCGGCGGAGTCGGTTGCTGGTAACACGCAACCGCCCGATCTTCGCCGACCACCGATAGGTCCTTGAATTGGCTTTGGGAGGCCCCGCGCGTGGCATGGCGGCTTCAAAAATCGCCACCATATCTCAGCGGTGCTCCCAAGCAATGCGATTCACCGGGTGAGCAAGCGGAGGCCGCGGTTCGGAGAGGCCCAGGATACGACCTGAGCCGCGGTTTTGTAGAGGTCTTCATTAAACGCCCCCCATTTCCATCGCGGTGGCAGGGATCCAGCCCCGCGTGGGCGTCTGGATCCAACCAGGAATACCCACCCATGAGGAATGGAGTCCACCTCCATGTCCAAGTAAAGGTGGTCGGAGAAGGTCTCCATCCCCGTGAAGACCCGCCAGTCGGAGATGCGGCATGCCGTCGAGGGTGAAGCCCAGGTGTGGTTTATCACAGGCTCCCTCCTCCACGCCACGCACGTGCTCTCCGAACCGATGTTTAGGCACACCAAGTTCAACCCAGCCGCCCACTCCAGCAGAGCCTACCCCGTCGGCATCGTCCTGGGAGAACCCCATGCCGTAGCATAAGGGTTGAAGTCCCTCAGGACGACGACCGGCCGGGAAACTTGCCATAAGACAAGTCCCCGAACTGTCCCAGGAATTCATCAAACTCCCGTCGGCTACGGCTGGGGCAGATATAGTCCCCCGCCCCCGCGATGTTCCCCCACATAATTCTACACATTCCTGTCGGCTACGACTGAGGGAGACATAGGTCTTCACCATCGCGATTTTGTCTCCAAGACCCTCACGAATCCCCTCACCCGCCCCAGAAAGAAGCAGGAAGGAAACTGGGGAGGCACTGTCATGTGATCGCAACGGAGACGGCGGTGTCGCCCACCCAGAGAGGGTGGTCATGCACCACGTATGGCTCCGCTGTGTTCGACAGTCCTACTAGATGCTCTATCAGAGTGTGGACCAAGAGGTATTTCGTCCTTCTGGTGCGGCCCAGACTAGCCTGGAGGAATGATCAGTCTCCATGGCCACATCCGGACTTCCCGTCCCTGCTACGAGAGTGGCGGTTGAAGCGGCAATTGTTGAATCGATAACTGCCAATGGCATGGCGTCCACCGTCATGCTCTCCCCCTGGGGTGAGGGCCCTGTGGAGCCCCCTCCCTTTCCCGACAAGGACGACTGCGTGCCGCTGCGGTCCCGGGCGGCGCAGACGACATCAAAACGTTGGCACCACCAGTGGGGCCAGAAAGTCCAACACTGGAATTTCCAGTAACACCGGCGCTCCCGTTTTTTGCACCGCCGTAGCTCGGACCAGGACCTACCGGTTCCGTGTGCGGCCGCGCATGCCGTACCACCCATTCGATGGTCGACCACAACCCCCTTTTCGCCGCAGAGGAGGCACTTTTGTGCCTCCCCGCAGGATGCCGCACAATGATCCGCGAAACCGCACCGGAAACACCGCTGGCCGCGCCCGACCGCAGCATCGCACCACAGACTCACGTGTTCAAACGCATGGCAGCTGTAGCACTGCAGCGGCCGAGTTTCCAACGGTTTCACCGCAACCGCGGACCACCCCACCTGGAAGCGTCCACCCTCGACGACCTTGCGGGCCACCGAGAGGGGACACCGGACCCAGGCGGAGCCGAGGCCACGCGGTGAAGTGCGGATCATCCCCACGCGTAACTCGTCTGCACGGCATCCACCGACATGTGACACGGCCGTCACAATGTCCGCGGGCTGCACGGAGTTATCCAACCATGCAACCCGGAGCTCGCCGTATTTAACCGGCAGCCCGATTTTGACTGGCCTTGACTGGTTGCCCTAGGGGCCGTGTGGCGATCACGGTTCGGGGAGTGGCGCCCCCGGGCTCCTTAGCTAGGGTCTAACCAACCCTTGGTGTGGACGAGATACCTTGATATGGCAGGCACAGCTTATTCATGTATGTAAGAAGCCGAACAGGTCCTACCAATAGA